CAACACACAACACACAACACACAACACACAACACACAACACACAACACACAACACACAACACACAACACACAACACACCACACACAACACACACACACACACACACACCACACACCACACACCACACACCACACACCACACACCACACACACACACACACACACACCACACACCACACACCACACACCACACACCACACACCACACACCACACACCACACACCACACACCACACACCACACACCACACACACACACACAACAGCCCACATCCTCAGAACACCATTCAAAAGCTAGGGAAACTACCACACAACGGCTGGGTTTCTGGTTTTTTTTTGCGGGGTTTCCCGGGGTGCCCGGGAAACCAACGGCTGGGTCCCCGGCTGGGTCTGCGTGGCCAGGGCGGCCCTTTGCTCCGCCTGCTCCGCCGAGGCCTCGAAGTGCAGCGCCTCCGCCTCCGCCTGGAGCCGAGCGCCGGTCGAGCCGAGCGTCCGAGACGCAGGGAATGACCCAGAGGCACTTCGAAGCAAAAAACGTCGCAGCCACCAAATGTGATTTTCAAAATCAAGGCAAAACCCACAAAGGCACTGACAGACTCTTCGCACTTTCCATCTGATGGGTGCTTTTTGGGGGGGAGTGTCTTGGGTGTGGTGCCGTCGCCAGCAAATACTGTAGACATCGGATTAATACCCCCCCCCACCCGGACGGGGCCTTGAAAAGGTACTATGGCGAAATTAATCCTAGGTCGACATTGATTCTGGTGGCTTTTCGTAGGCATTTGGCCGGCATTTCTAGACCCGCATGCCCAAACATTCCATCAGAAACTGGGATTCCGCATGAGAAACGCATGGCTGCCCGGGAAGACATCAAATGAAAAAGGAAAACAGCAGTGCCCCCGAACTACTGGGACTGGGTTACTCACTTCCTGAGTGGATTGGCCAAACAGCAACTCTACACTTTGTTTGCCATTAACATCGTATTCCATTGAAAGGCCAAACAAGTCCAAACACTTGGCAGTGGGAAGTAGGGCAATCAGGGCAATCGGAATTATTCGGTTTGCTCCATAACCTCGGAGGGGAACCCATGCAAAAGCGGTTTGGACCATCACCAAAACAAAGGTGGTCAATTGAATATTTGGTATCGGTCTGTAGGGGGCCACCCCCCAATGCGGTTTTCCTTCTGCTGATGCCGTGTGCAACCGGCAAGAAGTTGCGGCAAGAAGTGCCACCATTGCCTGTGGCTTTGTTGGCACGAGGCCATTTGCCGCTTTGAAGGGCGGGCCCAAACATTCTGAGGCCACCTTGCCATGCTGAAATTCGGAAGGCATTGTCACTTGAGTTTGGTTCCCTGAAAAAGGACCTATATCATGGGTGGTTTGGGTTTGGCATTCCACAAGCTAATCGAAAACAATTGTTCCAGGAGGCAGCCGCCTGTAAGATTACTTGCTTTAGGAAAACATGGTACCTAAAAGGGGTTTTACACTTTGAGGGGGTGCCAATGGAGCGCGTTGGGTGGTGCTCAACTGGGTTGCAGCCATCCGAGGGTGGTGTCCCTTGCGAAAGCCAAAAGCCTATCCTTAGAGATGTCCTTCAAAAAGGCCTTCGGCGTTTTATTGGGATTAGCTTTCAGAGGCCAAAATAATTTCCAGTACAAGACCTTACAAAATTAATGGGAAAGTCCGAGTGAAACAATATGGGGGGGGTCCATTGAACCATTGAACATATCCAGAACATACCCGAAAAGTTCCCCATCCAGTGTCAAGAAAGCCCTCCTGCCAGTGTCAAGAAACCCATCCCCACTTCTGCCCAACCCTTGGCATGTGAGCAAGCAGTTCACATTTGCCCCAGCAACCCAAAAATGAATAGAATCCCAGCGTCCTTCCCTCGTGCCTGCAGATATTCGTTTACCAGCGGCCCAGCATCCCGCATCGCCCATCGCCCGGTGCCTTGTGGAGCTCGTCCTCCAGGCGCGCGATGACCCCGTCCTTCACCTCCAGGATGGCCAGTGCCTTGGCCTGCGCCAACCTCAGGTCTCCAGGTCGCGCCACGAGCGAAGCGTGGCACGTGGCGCGGGTTCGAAGCCGTGGGCCTGGATTTTTGGAGTTTGTGTGGCTTCTGATTCTTTTGAAGCTGTGTTCTTGGCGTCAGGTTGGAGCAGATCGTTGCATCAGCCAATGCGAAGACCCGACTGCTAGCCACAGAAAAGCGTATGCATTCCCTTCTTGGCCTCGAGCCCATGCTGGTACTCATGACTCGCTACGCATCGCACATTAAACGGAAACGACCATGAACAGTTGCCCCAGGGAACTTATGATTTGAGGAGCATGTCTCAAAAGAACATCGCTTTACCACCCCCTATCCTCAACTGGGGGAAAAAGCAAAAGCGGGGCCCCACGCAATAGAAGCACAGCTTTCTTCTTCCGGTCTTTGAAAAAGTCAGTCCTTACGGGCCGAATTTTCTTGACCCCACGCCAGCACCAAATTTGCTGGGAGGTCCGGGTCAAAAGCTGATTGCAGAATTGGATCCCCACGTCCAGCATTGCAGACTACATCCCTCGAACCTCCCAGCATGCGGCCGAGTCACAGTGTGCATATCCCAGTATGGTCTATGATGATCTATGCGTCAAAATCGGGGGACCCCAGGTGAAAAGAGAAACAGTAAAAACAAAAAACACATGAAACCTCATGCACCCTGACTGCTTCGACCAAGGGGCATTCCTCCCTCTCGCTGCCAGGCGGGCGCTTCCCCAGCTCATTGCGGACAATGTGCAACCCCCGGACGCCTTGACACCACCCAAAGGGGTACCTCCCAGGAGCCAAGGCTTCTGATCTTTGCTTCAGATCCCAAGTTGGCGTCCGGTTGCCAAAGACACGGCCCTACATGCCAAACCGGATCTTTCCGGGCAGTGTTGGCCAGGCGTATGTGCTCCGTGGAAACCACCCAAGACCCTCCATGTTGGCTAAAGCTGCGCATTTCAGTCATTTGAGCCACGGAAAGCGGCCAATGATGGCCAAGGTGGCTGCAGTGGAAATGCCATGCTTCTCATTGTTGTCAGCTCCATGGGCAGAAACCTACAGGACCTGGCAAACTTGAAACTGGAAGCATGGGCGTAGCGCATCTAGTTGGAACATCCCTGATCATTACACACTCAATTAGGCCCGCTTCGGTCGAACCAACCTTCAGTTGGAGCGCGGCAAGAACCGAGGGATTACCCACGTGATAGTTGCTGGAAGATGTTGGAAGCACTTTTGTGTTGTTTTTGTCGGCGAGCAACCAGCAGAGTTTCATGTTGAGGACTGATTTACGCATGAGCTGCGTTCAAGCGCGGGCAATCTTTTGCAGTTCTGTTCCACACCATGTTGTTGCAATAAAACAAAGCCCCGCTGGTGAGTCTAACGTTCTCCGCCATTTTTTTTGGGCGACACTTGGCCAGCATGCCCACACCATCGTAGACTGCAAACCCCGGGCTGTGGGTCGAAAATAGGTACCCAAAATGGAACCCTGGCAAATGGAAGCAAGGACCCCTGGTGGCTTCACTATGACAAATCCACTACCCCCTCGCAATGACCAATTCGCCCAAGAAGGCGAACCCAATGACCAGTGATGATGTTGAGACATTCGCACACTTTGTACTTTTGACCCAATGACAAATCCACGCGCTCCCAAGCCCAGGGCCCGTTTCTTCTCCGCTCTCGCTGAGGAGCTCCTCGGAGAGAGCGATAAGCAAGCGTGACGTGCTCCTGATATATTTTTGCTCGGGTTTCGTTCACTGACCCAAGACGTGGCCTCAAACTGATGAACCAATGGGTTTTATTCGATTGATCCCATTGCATATGCCCCAGTTCCACTTGTTTGCCCCTTCTGCATCCAGAAGCGCTGATGTAGCCAGCTCCAAACAAATTAAACCTTGTGCTCTCTCCTCTGGCCCGTGTCTCGTGTTTCACGTGGCAGGCTGACACGAAAAGAGCCGATTTTTACCCTGAATCCGAGCACAACACCAGGGGCAGACCCTAAATGGCTCTGCGCAGGGTCGAAGTTGTCCTGTATTTATATGCTAGTCGCTTCCTGACAAGCACAAAGAGAGTGAACACGTAGTTTGTCGATACTTGTCGGTCAAAGCCTGAATGGCCAACAGGTCATAAGACAACATTCGATTGATCGACGAACCCTATCAAGGCTACGAATGTATCAAGAAGGCGCACTTGTCCAGTAGGGGGTCTGTTAGGTTTTGGGCGCCCCGGTCTCTCCTGGCTACTGATTATGGGCACAGGACATGCCACGACATGTGGCTGTCCCAGTTCGTAGCCGATCCCCAGCAGTGTCCATTTGAGGCTTCACCTTTGTAGTTGCCCCCGAGAACAAACACTCTTGCTGATGGCAGTGCTCTGTAGGCGCTGATGCACCCACCCCCTCTGCTCCAGAGTCATAGAATTGGACCCAACTGCCAACTGCCACGGCCCTGGATGGAATGCAAATTCGGCCTCCCTGCTTTGTCAGCTCCAGTTGCTGCTCCAAAGCATCCTGCACTCGCTGGAATGCTGCCATTTCACTCTGCAGTGTCGTGCCTCGTCCGAGTCACCCTCCATGGCAGCACGGCACTTTTGAGGGTTGGGGATGTCGACCTCGCATGGGGTCTGCAACGTCTTGCGCCCTTGGCTAAACCCAACAGCTTTTCCTAAGTATTGGCTACATGTAGGATAAGCTTGTGCAAGGAGTCATTGAAGGGTCAGCAAAGGAGCTTCTACTAGAGCTTGATGAGGTTCGATTGTCCATAACTGTCTATGGGCTGAGGGCGCGTTGCACGCTGCGCACTTCTGATTGAAACAATCCTGCAGCATCCTTCACTCTTGCTACAGGAGGCCGGCGAAGTGCTTGATCCACAAGAAACCTGCAGAGCAGAGCAAGGGCGTGGTGCCATGGATCCGCTCTTCCCTTTGCCCTTACAGGGCCCGCTGACTCCTAACCCCAAGCCGCGCAAGGAGTCACGCAGGATGCCCCGCACGAACAGGAAAAACCATCCACCCGCTTCTCACTACCCCCTTCTAGGCGCCAATCCCACGCTCTCGCAGAATTTTGGTCATGGCGCACGCTTGGCTTGCCAAACCAGTGGGTACCGTTTGCGGGTGCTCAGGGGCATCATGGTCTCAACGCTGTCTTGGCCCCTACCTGTTCCCATCTACTTTACTTCTGTTTCCAGCTTTGGTTGAGGCCAACCTGCCCACAGGAGCTGTATGGCTAATGTACACACCCGCTGGTTCTGTTTTGGCCATGCTGGTGCACAAGATTCTGCGAAGCATGAAGGTGGTGGCGTCATACAAGTCAGAAAGGGCGTAAATGATGTGTTCTTCTGGAGTCTGCGCATAGCACAGGCCGACTGAATTCTGGCCGGTCCCTGCGAATGCGGCCTTGTCAAAGCCTCGGCATTTCGCCAGACTGGCCCAAAACTCTGCAGCTGGGGATGTCCGCATGTGGGCAACCGTCATGGGCTGCGCGTGCAGGTTGTATGTACAGTGATTGCTGCCCGAGATTCGGCCTACCTGTTCTCAAAGGTGCTGCAAGGTATTCTTTCGGTCGCGGGGCCTGGCTGTCGACACAACTTCATTCCTGTATGGGGCAATTTAGTGAGGAAGGCTTGCTTTCGGCCCAGAACTGTCCGCTTCCTTGGTTGAAAACAAACGAGCACCGCGATCTCTTTCCTGGTTTCAAAAGGTGAGTCCCTTTGTGGCCATTCGTGCCCACTTCGGATTCATGAATCTCTGCACAAGATTGCTGTAGCAAGCATTGCTACGCATTGGACACAGCATAGTAGCAAACGCCATGGCTTGTCGACATTACGGCATATATAAATATGTACATATATGATATATATATATATAGATATATAAATATAAATATATATATATATATAAAGTCAATTTCGTTGTATTCGGGGGTTACATCAATCAGGTGTTACACCAAATGGCTATAGGGAGCATCATGTGTCACGCTTCGAGGATTAATCGGGGGAACGAGTATCACAACGGGGTCAAGGGTGAGAGGATGAGGGGGTGCGGGGGCGATGGTTTTGGTGGGGGGCCGGGGACGACGGTTTTGGTGGGGGGCCGGGGACGACGGTTTCGCAAAACCACCACGTCCCTTTGAAAGCGTCAAAAAACACAACCACTAACATTTTGGTGAAAAAGCCACGATTACCTAATATGGGTCACCCTCGGCTTCCCTCAAACCGCGATCCCGTAAGGGCGACTGTTTCGCAAAACCACCACCCCCAACCCGCGGCTTCCTCAAAGGAATATACCCCTGTACTTCCCCAACCCCTGGCTACCAAGTAAGAAATTCCACCAGCAAAAAGGAAATTCCCCCAGAAACTAACCTAGTCTGAGAGAAACCGCAGCACCCATTAACTTTGCGACCTTCCACAAGTTGTTTGGGGGCTGCCCTGAGGACGACGGTCCTGCCAAACCCTCACCCCCAGCAGTCTCAGGTTTTCAGAAAGTATAGGGCGATTCATACAACTAGCAAGTCGGTGATGCACTGCAACATAGTTCGCGTTTTAAGGCCCGATGAACCGGCCGAGGGCAGACACTGACTTGTCACATCTTCTGAACTTGAAGCTGCAACAGACCGAAAATACCTCAGAGGGTCAGGGAGTAAAATAACTCCAAGAACTTGACTAAATGCAAATGTTGGGCGCAAGCCTCTTCTCTGCCATAGACCCCCCCCCTTGACGCTGAAGGGGCCGCAGTTCTATCGCTGCTAGGCCCATGACACCCGAATGGAATGTTATGGCACCTGAATGCAACGAAATAGCCTTAATATATAAATAAAAAGATATCTATACACTACACACGCACACGCATACATGCCACACGTGGTGCGCCCTGAGTGGGCTGAGTGTAGCCGGATGGATTCTCCCCAATCTGCGGGCCAGCTGTTGCGCCACCGCGCAGAAAACAACTCAAGGGCGTAAACCCCAACGCAAAACTGGTGTTCCACAACAGGCGGCGTGAATCAGCCTCATCCTTTCAACTCTCATACTGGAAAGGGGGACCTTGCACGATGGGCATTCAAACCTTAGCCAACATCACACCTTGGAGGTGGCAGCGGTGTGAGAAGCACGTATACGACGAGTGGGCTCCGGTGCTACTTTGGGGGTCTGTGTGAACAAATGCTGAGAAAGGTCACTTGGAGGTCACCTGAGCCACAATCAAAACATGGTAATAGCATGGTCTGCCCACAACCATGCAAAGAATTGAAAAGGCGGCCTTGACCACTGGACCACAACCCGCCCCCTCAGCTTGAGTCGGCCGGCCTCACGTATGCTGAGAGAAAAGCTGCTGAGACGGGAAAGGTGCGAATCCACTCAGTTCCTCGGGTTTCAAGTGAAAGAAACGGGAAAAAGGATGAAGAAGGGCCCATGAGCGAACTACTTGTCACAAAAACAAGGTTGCTACATCTACTTGTCAATCCCCCGAGATGTTGGCTCTTGTCCGTTCAATCAATTCTGCTTGTCGGCTTGTCACTTCATCAAACCAGAGCCAGGGTTCGCGTAAAGACATGCAGCTCGCAAGGCTTCAATGCTCCATTTGAAGCAGGGGCTGCCCGAAAAGCATCGCAAACAACACTAAAAACACCATAGTAGGCTTCAACCGAAATGAACACCAAGCAAAATCCTTTGCAACACACTGAGCCAACGGAAACACCCGTTGAGCATTTCAAGGGGCCCCAGACTTTCAGTTCCAGCTTCTCAACAGGTGAAATCAAAAAGCTTTGAGGTAATTTGGCTGTGGGTCAAAACCCTGTACCCCTGGTGAACATCAAAATAGGTGGCACATGGGTGTTCCGCCCCAAAACGGAGGCATAGGTTATGACCCATGGCCATCTGGTTTCATGTGGGCGATTTCGACAGCAGCCTCGCTCACCCAAGGGACGTTCGCCATTTGGGCGTTGCCACTGCACCCGCCCCACGTCTGCAGCGCTGAGCTGGCCGTTGCCGCAGACCCAGTGTCCATTGACTTGATGCACCTCGGCTGCCATCAACAACAAGAACATTGGCCCCTTTTTTTTCCTCCACCTTTTTCGTCACACATAAAGTAACGTGTTTGTTCCCAATAAATGCTTGATTGCAAGAACTTGACATGTTAAACTTCTGCCTACCTGCATGAGGGAGGCTATCGATCGCCTCCCCCCCCAAAACAAATAAACAAAAAACATGACACCGGAACACCATCAATGGAACCCCAAGGGCCACCCCCCTCCCCATCACTGAGCCAGGCCCAGCTCGGAAAAAAGGAGTCCCCTAAGGAATCTTCACTATGGGCCTATGGGTAGCTCGTTTTGTGCCGAGGTTTTTGCCCTGCAGCATGTTGAAACCAGCAAGGAACGCGAGCTGACGGTACTGAGTGAGACCTGCCAGTGACAAGTCTTGGCCCCAAGTGCAAACAAAATCCTAGTGACACTGAGGAAGCCCCTCTTCAGTCCTCTGGCAAGCATTTGCGTGGAGTGTTTGACATTGTGATATGGCCCGAGGCGCTTTCAGGACTGCTTTCCAAAGGTTCGCCTTGTAACGGTGCTTGTGGTCCCAAGAAACGCTCGCCTCAATGGCCAAACAATGCGAAGCACGTGCCGACTCGTCGAAAACATCCAACCTGGTTCTGACATAGCCAACTAGAACATTGCAGCATGTGCTTGTCAACAACAATTCCTGAAATTTGGAATCACACATATCTGGGTGTAGGTGACCTGGGGGCCGCAGCTTTTAGTCCAGGATTCCATTTGCCAGGGGTCCATTTTGGGTACCAAGTTTTGACCCACACCCATCTCATGCCACAACAACAGAAGACATCTCACACACACAGTCATTGTGCACCACTGCAGCTCTCGTCGCTCGTGCACAGCGATCGCTGGTGGCCACGACTGACACAGAATGGCCAAATGAATCCATCCATTCCTGACGCTGAAGGCAAGCAATCGGCAAAGCCGCTAAGTACGCACGCAAAAACAGCTGACACAAGCAGATGCATGCACGGCTGCTTCGCCGAGTCGCTCCAAGCAAAAAACTGATTTGAGAGTAGTCGACTCCATTCCTTACCCGCGCTGAGCGCTGCCCCCACGAGGACGAATTGCGCAGCATCAGCATTTGCTGTTTGACATGTTCCGAAACAACAAAAGCAGCCACCCTACCATTTACTCTCACGTCACTGCATGCAAGCCACTAGGACTAGCTTGGATGAGATATGTTGACTGATCATTTCGCCAAGTCACGTAGCCAACCAAAACATCACACAATGCAAAAGCCGGGGCCTACGGCACATGACATTTCCCCCGATCGCCAAGAGACAACTCCAAAGGACCCAGGAACTCTTGCAGTGCATGCCCTGGTGGGCTATCATCAGCACCTTGCAAACACATGTCAATGCATTAATCAAGCTTCCGGCGCGTAAAGTTGATGTTGGCTTCATTCTACAACCTATGATTATTATGATGGATTCTTATTCAAAGATTAAACCTTCGCTATCCGAATGCTGACCCCTCACAACGTACTTGGCAGCCCCACATTGACATGTCACGACCATCGCGCCGGGGTCTCTAGGTGCTGGGCGCATCTCCTTGTCCCTTGGACTGGCTGGCAAGCGGGAACCTGCGAAATGGGGGGGGGACCACCAAATGCGTGGCCTCCCTCTGGTTCCCCATCCGGCAAACGCGCAAGAAACATGCACCTGCAGCAAGAACAAAAACCTCGTCGCATCGATTTTCCAAACTGAACCTTTTGTGCATTCATCCTGCGGGGAACACAGCATGACACGCGTCCTGCCTGACACGAGAAACCATTCCTTGCAGTCTGACAACGTTGCATCGTCTCCTCGGTTGAAGCGTTTTTCTGCCACAGCCATCTCGCAACCCGAGCTTCATGCTTGCAACTTGAACCTATATGCCTACTATGCCTCCAAAGGCGTGTTTTGGATGGTTCGTGTGAAAGGCACCAGTTTGAAGGTCCCCGATTTTATCACATTGCCCGGAAGGCACCACTCAACAATTAAACAGCTGTATATAAACAGTCGCGCTTCCTATCTCATCTCAAGAGCAAAATGCAGCCAGGCGACCGATCATGTCCCAAGACGTGTCGCTGACATCATCGCAATCCTGCATTGACACGATGTGTTTCAGAGCAGTGCTACTGCTGAAGTCCTGCCCATCTGTCAGCGTCATGGTTGGCTTTGGTATGGCCGATCAAGGCAACGCTAGAGCCAACGCAATGAGGCGGATAGCTACCCTGCGCATGCTGGCGCGCACTTCCCACCAGCATCCGCCAGCTCAGCCTACCACAGTTTGTTTATCTCGTTTCAACACTCCTACATTCGAATGACGTTCAAGCTGGGCATTACTAAGCCACATTTTTTCTTCCTTGTAAAACAATTTTTGACGGTGGTTGGAAACCAAGAGTACCTGCTGGCGATACAGCCGGAATCCCGCAACGTGAAGCAGACCCCGATACCTGCTGCAAATAACTGTCTTGATGCGCTGAGTGTATTGTTTCATGCTTGGCTACGCCTGGCTTATGCCCCAGCTAGCTTGAAGCTATAGGGGCTTTTATTTCTAACAAGGAGGGGAAGTGATTTGCAAGCTTGACTGTCAGGGGGGAAGCAGTTTGGGGTACTGTTTTGCCATGTTGTTTGGGGTGCTGTTTGAGGTGCTGATATGTGCTGATGACTGCACGGGCGCATTTTTGCGAGGTTGACGTGTTCTCTCAGGTGCTGTTTGTGGCGCTCTTCGGGGGTTGCTCTTCGAGCCGCTGGTGTGCAATCATCGGCCTGGTTTTGCGCTATCTGGGGGTCTATGCCGGCAGAATCATGTTTTTCTCATAATTTCTCGGAAACACGTGAAGAACCCCAGTTGCAGGACCAAAAGGATCAAGAAACATATTTGAGGATCAACAATAAAAACTCACACACGCGGATCTAGAACATATCGCGCCCAGGCGTGCGAAAACGCTGTGCGTAATTGGCATCGTGCACACCACTCCCGCTCACAAATAGCACAGTCAGTTCAGTACAAGCACAGTGCAACGAAGGTCACTGCGGCAGTCCAGATTGAAAACCGTCAATTTTACCAGCATATGCGTGCATCAGTAGACTCGGTTTTGCCAGGCTAGCATGGAAGGCAAGATGCATTAATCCTCCCTGCAAGAAGAGACGTGTGAACTGTAGCGCAGCACGCTTGAAAGGCTGTCAAGCAACTCATCCAAATTTAAGCCCCTCTGCCGCTTGGGGCGCGATCGTGCCCACAAGGCGGGCTTTGTTTCTGGGCCGCAGACAATGATGTTTGTTTCTTGTTTTGCGTTACCCGGCCACTGGGAGATCTGCAGCTGGACCCGCGCAGTTGAGCTGAGCTTGGCTGCAACCTGCACACTCCTGCCAGAGCAAGCAACTGGAGGGGCTGGGACATTCAGCTCCAAGCGCGCTTATTGCAAGCTGCGCCATTTGCAACACCCTAGGCCTGAAAGAGCTTGGACAGTTTTGTGGGTTTGTTTAGGTGGTTCACTTCGGGAATTATATTGGTTGGTTTTTGGTTTTCCGCACGTTTGCTGTTTTTTTCCGCAGCACGAGTCGAGCCCGCCGAAACTATGCTTAAGGGGCCCCCCGGGCACTAAATGGCACTCACGCTGATTTGGAGGCCAGCGGCCTCACCTGCAGAAGTGGCTGGCGTTGCCATCACAGTAAGGTTTGGTGAGCGGCAGACGCAGGGAGGGCAGACCAACGGGCACAACAGAATCCATGCTAGAGGGGGCGTTGGCGACAATATCAGGGCAGTGGTCATCCGGTTGGGTGGATAGGGGTGTGTGTCACGGCCATCCCCCTCTTGTCCTGCCTTGTTCATCTGCTTTGTTGCCGTTGCAACCATGTGAAGCTTCATTGCAGCTGCTTCGGCCCCCACACACCTACGGCACAACCAGCCCTCTCGCGCTCCGAGCAGGCCCTGCCTCGCACTCTCGCCAGGCGCGGCCCAAGCTTCCTCAAAACGCCTCCGTCTACTTCAGTGCACCCAAAGCATCCCCGCCGCTGCTCACAAGCTTTGCTCTTGAGTTTCCTCCGGGTGGACGGCCTCGCAGCTGCGGCGGTTGCACGCATGCTCTTGGATGACAAGTTTTCCGTTCGGCGGGGAGGTCTTGAGCTTCCAGTCCATGCCCGATCTTGGGGACGCTCCGGCACTGGAAGCACACAGGTCATTAAGAATTGAAATGTGTTCAAAGCCGAGAAGATGTCATTTCCATGTTAGAGCTCCTTCGCGTAGCTTTCGCGCGTGTGCTCAGCGAGTTCTTGTTCCAAAACACAGTGTGTCACCCGGACTCGGTCCAACTGCTGCGCAGCAGTGTAGATGTCATCCTGCTGCAATTCGGCGCTGACAGCTTGCGCCGCTCGACGGCCCACGGCAGGAACACTGACAACTCTGCAATTTCAGGAGCGGAAAGCTGGCGTTCTGCTGTGGCAACGGGTTCTGGACGTGGACAGTGGCTGCGCATTGGACGTTACGAGCCGCTGGACGCCAAATGCGCAAGTGAACGTGCGCCTTCCTGTTGCGACGCTTCCCTGTGCAAGTTCCCCACTGGAGCTTGGAGCAGGGGACAAGCGTTCGCATGTGCACGTTGCTAACCTCTGAAGTATAGGAAGGAGCAACTGGACCCCCGGGCGGAAAAAATGGACGGCCCTGGCAACAAACCCAGCCGCGCTGTTGGTTAGCTACACCAAGGGCTAGCGTACAACGTCCATGCACGGCACAACAGGGTGCCTCCGGCACTTGACGCAACATTGGGTGTGTGACACATGACTACACCACAAACAGGTCCGTTCAGGCCGCCATTCTCCCACGCACATGTTGAGGCCAACTCTCATCGGCTCAGCTCTGCTGTCTGAGCGACTCGCGCCAAGGTGATGCCGCCACGTTGCTCACCGATCCTAGCAAGCAAGCCCATCTGTTGTCTTGGAACCCGGACAGCCTTACGTGTGGGACGATAGATAAGGCCGCAGCTGCGCTGCGCCTGCCACAAAATCTCTGCGAAAGCGCTGCGGCTGCTACAAAATATCTGCACTTCACCTTGCGAAAGTGCTGCGCCTGCGACGCAATCTGTACCCGACCTCGCGAAAGTGCTGCGCCTGCGAAATCTGCACCTGACCTTGCGACAGCCCTGTGAATCCGTCAAAACAACTAGCGGCGGCAACGCAATTTTTACCGTGAAAGTGTTTCCCCCCCGTGGGCAGTTTTTTACCGTTGCCGTTGCCGTTTGCGGCGAAAAGTTGATTTTTTAACCAGGAAATTGCCGTGGCTGTTGCCGTGGCTGTTTGCCAAGGTGCAATAGTTTCGCAGTATGTTTTTTCTTTCCCCGCACACCTTTTTCTTTTTGCGTGGGCCGAGGGTGAAACGCGCGCAGCCGCCGAGACTCCAAGGCGGCTGTCCCACATCCTTGCAAGTACGCGCATGCACTCGAACACCGTCAAGGCCCCAAGGCACAAGGCAATCACACTGCAAAGGAACTTGATGCGGGCCAGGACAAAGTGGATTTCTTCGAGCATGACTTCCACGTCCAGGTAATTTCTTGCAATGGTGTGATGTAGGGCGTCCATGGCGGTAAGGCAAGGCAGTTGGATTCGCAGGCTGCGAGCAGTGTGATATCTGCTGACACACGCATGGAGGCCTGCCAAAACATGGAAAATAGCAGCGCAGAGTTGCCAGGAGGCCGACACGCGGTGTCGAGGACGTGCGCGTCCTTAAGTCCGGGCGCGGCCCGGACAGAGCAAGAAAGGTGACCCTCAAGCGCCTGAAGGAACGCACGCGGTGCAAGATCCTTCCTTCTTGGTTTCCCAAGAAGGCCTGACACGCGGTGACAGGTGAAACAAATCCAGCATGGGAGATGCAAGACGCTTAGGGCGCGGCCCGGAAGGCAAGGCTGGGCGTGAGAGCACCTGACACGCGGTGTCAGGTTGCAAATTCCCGCGGGGAATATGCTGAGTCGCTGGGGGCGTGGCCCCACAGCAACGCAGGGCACGGGTGCCCATGCCTGCCACGCGGTGTCAGGCGCTGCGAAATTTTGTGCGGGGCAGACGGCAAGGCAAGGCACGTGAGCCTAATTGCCACCTGACAGGCGGTGTCAGGTTGCAAATTCCCGCGAGGAAAATGCAGAGTAGCTGGGGGCGCGGCCCCGCAGCAAAGCAGGGCACGGGTTCCCATGCCTGACACGCTGTGTCAGGCGCTGCGAAATCCAGCCAAGCCGAGGGCGCGGCCCAGACGGCAAGGCACGCGGCGTCAGGTTGCAAACACCCAGCGGGGAAAATGCAATGTCGAGCGCACGGCCCTGACAGCAAGGCAGAAAAGCCTTGCCTAAGCCCCGCAGGGGTCTAGTTTGCCTGACACGTGGTGTCGAAGGCGGCAAACCCAGCGAAGAATGCCCTTCGAGAGCGCGGCTCACTTCTTGAGAAGGCACGCACGCGGCGCCAGGGCCTTCAGCCTGGTTTCCCAGGGCTTGCACCTGACACGCGGTGTCAAGTGAATGCAAAACCCAGTGGGAAACGCAAAGCTGTCGAGGGCGCGGCCCTAACTGCAAGGCTGAATGTTCTGCCGAAGCTCCGCGGGAGCCTCAATATTTGCCAGCAGAAACCCCAGTGGGGGAAGCGATTCAAGAGCGCGGCTCAAGAATTGAAGGCACGCTGTGCGAGGGCCGTCAGCCTGCTTGCACCTCACACGCAATGCACAACCCAGCGGGGAGCGCGCCGAGTGAGGCGCTGAGGAGAAGGCCAGGCCCGGAAGGGCCGGGCGCAGGGCAGAGCCACCTACCACCAAGCAAGGTGGAAGCAAGAGCGTGCTGGAACGCGACGCTAAGCAGCGTCCACCAGCTCCGACGCCAGCCCGCAGCAGCCGGCCGGCGCACAGCCGGGGGCGCGCGGAGGAGTCAAATCACTGCGAAATTATCTCCAGCGCAGTAGTTCGCAGTGTTACGTCCAAACTACTGCCAAACTACTGCCAAACTACTGCGGAAATAGCTCCAGCGCAGTAGTGTCGCAGCAATTACTTCCAAAATTGCTGTTGGGGGCTGTGGTCAGCGTGCGCACTGACCTTAACATCGGCAGCGTGCGTGGAGCAGACCGGAGGATTGAGCTCATCGCAAACGGCTAGCCTCTGTGGGGAGATGTCCAACTTGCCGTCGACACCACGCTTGCCTCGGCGCTACCAGGGCTGAGCCGAGGGTGCGGCCCTGCGCT